ATGGATTTGGTACATTTTAAGGGGGGTATTACGAGGAAAATGTCGCCAAAGAAGTCTAAGGAAATTATCACAACAATTTTATTACAACGGCTTTGGTGGACTATTTTCTGGGAAATCGAATGATATATCGCGGCCGTTTCGTAGTCCAAAGTGATTCTCTTGTCCAGCTATGGTCCACCGACAATGATCTTATGATCGGAATGCCGATTATACAGTTCTACTTTTCATATATTGCAGTATAGCAAAGCCAAGAATGTGGCACTGCATCATGGAGGAAGCTGATCGGTCGGCTAATGTTCTTCTATAATCTAGATCCCTAATATTCTCGGTACAGCATGGCCTTACCTTTTTCCTATAGTTATCCATTTATACAGGTGAGGGATTTCGTTGTTGTTGGTAGCTCTGTTCTACAGTTTGTATCTTCGGATTCGTTGATTTTGGAACAGCGTTCATGGGGTTTACTGGTACTGGTACTTGCACTGGTAATGCTACTGCTGTTGCTGTTGATGCTGCTGCATTCGTTGTGGCTGGTATTTTCTTTGTTTGTGGCGACAGCAGACGCAACAGCGGCGACATTTGGCCAAGCGGCAATGGCAGTGCCACATTGCAGAAAACCTTCTCCCAATTTTTACAATTTAACAGGAATAAATGGGGCTGGCTGGAGCGGTATTTGCAGGTGAGATATGAAGAAGGTTTTCCTTTAGTGTTCCTCCAGCGTCTCCTTTCATTCTCCTTCCTTTCTGCTCCTTCGTTCTGTTACTTTCGAGGATTCCTTCTTCCGCTTCCAATTGGTGCCTGGCAATGCTGGAAATGGATCTTTTGCCCCAAAACTATTGAGATCTGGCAATGCTTTGGCAATGTAATGGGATCTCCAGTTGCTCCTTTCTTCTTTCTTCTTCTTCTTTCACTTTCTCTTTTTGTCGCTTCTCCTTCTCTGATGTTGTAAATGGACGTTTGTTGTTGCTGTTGTTGGGCTGCTGTTTGTTGTTGTTGTTATTTTGATATGTGTCGCTGCTTCTCCTCCTTCGTTGTCTTAATGTCCTCTTTCGTGAGGTTTTAAACGTCTTAAAGAATACTGTAATTATTTTCGAGACACTGGGAACTTTGGTCGAGTTTTTTTATATTCCTTTATTGTATTTTGTCTGTCCTTCTCCTTCTCCCCATCGTGATTCCGATGCTCTTCCTCTTGGTGTGTGTTTTTTTCTCCCCTTTGCGACTGCTTTCGCCAGTCAGCTGTCATTGACACATGTGCGCGCTGCGCTCTCTCTCTCACAAGCTGCACAACTGCGCTGCTCTCTCGCTGTGGCCTGGGGGTGGCGCTCTCTTCAGAGGAAGAGAATAGGAGAGAGAGAGAGAGAGAGAGAGAGAGAGAGAGAAAGCTGGATGTGAATGGCCGCCCGATATGTGTCCTATAATTTACTACGTTTACCGATATGTCCTGTCATCGCCAGGACACACACGTCCCCCTCCCCTCGCACCACACGCTCCACAGATATTATTCGCACTGGAATCGGCCTGAAGTTTTTGTTTAATTTGCGGGCTTTTCCTTAGTTTTTCACTGCTTTTGCTCCGCTATGCCGTTATGTTATGCACTATGTGGGCCACACACCGCGCGCGCCTTTTGGCAGTGCCACACCGTTCCACCACTCCGCCGTTCGACGGTTCGCCGTTGGGGCAATGCAATGGATGGTTGAGGTTGAGGTTCAGGATGATGACTTCACCGCGTTGGCAACTCTGGCACTCGCTTCCACGCGGGATGGATTCCAGGGTGAGTCCGAGGAAAGGAATTTGTTTAAAGTTTAAACAAATCCAAATCGAAACGTAAAAAGTGAAAGACGACGGCGACGACGACGACGACACAACGAAACCGAGGGGACAGCCTCGCGCAGCTACAAGTCTTCTTTTGCACAATTTTTAACGCGCTCTGCCTTTTGTTACGCTGCTTCTTTGTGCCTCTCTCTCTCTCTCTATCTCTGTTTTCCATTCACCTTTTCGCTCGGCTGGCTTGGCTTTTGGGTTTTTTCCTCTGTTGCTCCTTTTTGGGGGGTTGTTTTCCGACGTCCGACGACCGACGACCGACAGCTGTCCCACCAAATGAAAGTTCTCTTGCAGAAAGGGATGCATCAGCATGCTCTCTCTTCCACGTCGCTCTCTCTCTCTCTCTCTCTCTCGCTGTTCCTCTATTCCTCTCAGCTGTCAAGCTTTGCCACCCTCATGGCTGAACTCTGCTCTCAGAAGGTATATCCCACAGAAGGTAAGGCATTCCCGCTGTGAAATAGTTTCCGATGAGCAGCCTCACCTTTCGGCTTACACATTCCTTGGACTCGTTCCCTTCTTGTTGTTGCTTTTGTTTTGACACTACTTCTGGCACTTTCCAACACTGTGCCACGCGACATGTGCGACCTTTCCCCTGCCCGCCGAATGCCCGATCTGATGGCATTCGCAAGCCCCTTACCCCTTTCAATCCGTGGAATAACCCCCCTCCTCAGGTGGTCCCCCTTTTGGCCCTTAATTGGCCGCGCTCGGGCATATCGAAGAGCTCCACTCATGTTTATATTTTCCCTCTTTAATGCATACTTAATGCGATATCTGGAAGCGAGGCGGGCGCCAGCCGGAAGCTCGAGTTGCAGTCCAATTGGGGAGCACAACCCCGGAATAGCACCCCAGGAACAGTCACAGGATGTGTCGAAGGATTCTGTGGGGGCGTTAAGTGTTTGTGGATGATGGGGCATCCTCTGACCTTGTCTGGATGGATGGACTGGGGCTTTACTGGGATTAAACTAAGGGACTGTCAAATCGAAATATTCCTCCACATAAATGAAATTCGCGCTCGTATTCCAATTGCCGTCCAATGAGGAATTTTACCAGTTTACATTTCACAGACAATCAGGGGACACATTTGGCAATCGTATCAAATACCGACTGTATTATCTATTAATTTATTTCCAGAACACTGCAATGGTATATTCTGCAAAAAGGCGTTCTATACTACGAATTTTCCGTATTATGAATTCCTCTTGAGGTTCGCTGTATGGAAGCTCGACTGTAATTTAAGTTTTACTCAAAAATGTGTGAGAGTCCCAAAAAACTAGAGCTGGACTCTGATTGAAGGATGGGATACAAAGAAATGAACCACCAGAAGCGATGAACATTTAAACCTCGAAGTAAATAACATTTCATTTAAGGACTATGTACAAGAGCCGATAAGTGGTCCTGGCCAGATCTGCTAGCCTGCCAGATCTCCGCAAAATAGCAGATTAAACATTTAATGGTTAATCTTCTTCACGAGAGATTTATCTATTGCAGTCTTAGTCGCAAAGAAGGTATAGGGAAAATGGGAACAGACGCATCCCAATATTTTAGATCTTAGCAAAAGATCAATGTCACTCCATCCCACCAAAGCGAAAAGAGGATCGTATGTGCAGAAAATGTAAGTGTAACGTATGTGTCTATTATTTCAGCTGCCTTGCAGAGGCCCCTCCGTTATGACACAGATCTCCTACAGGAGATCCACAGGATCTAGGAACTGAACGTATCTTTTGCCGATTTTCAGTTGGAAAGTGCCCGAAAATACTCATAATATCATAAGAAAGAATGCTCTTCACCCTTTGCTCCCGTTCGTAATAGTTCTAATGAGGCTAACCAATTTTAAAGCCCTTTCAGGACTAATTGAAGCATAAGTAATGAGAAGCTGTTAACAGGACCATTGAAAGAGCAGGGAACCGTCGAAAGGGTTGCGCAGGACCAGAACCAGAACCATTGCACTGGGTAGAGTCTTAGCCTCGGTCCCGGTCCCAGTCCCGGTCCCGGTCCCAGTCCCGGTCCTGGTCCCTGCCTTTGGGGGTTGGCTGGGCGCTATCCAGAGGCACGTGTTTGCACAGGAATCTAATCTCGGCGCAAACAAAGTAACAAGAATTCAATTTGTCACAGTGGTTGGCCGTGTGGGACTGCGACTGCGACTGGGACTCCTGGATCTGCTGGGGTTTGGTCTGTTTGGTCTTTGAACAACACGCGCGGCGGCAATAGAAAGCCCAGTCTCAAGCCCAGGGATCGGGAAAGCGGTAGCAGTCCCTTTGCCAGAGATAACCCCACTCTTCGGGGATTTCCTGTGTGTTGTGCGGGGGTGCAAATATTTGCATTTCGCTTGTTTTTCGGGGTGTTGCGCGTTAGGTAAAAGCCAAAAGCCTCCGGGGACTTGTTAATGCAAACAATGCGCATTTGATATTGCCAGAGAGACTGGAGAACGGGCGGTCGGAGGAGGAGCAGCTACATGTGTCCTTGGTCCCCATTTCGGGGGTAGTTTTCTGCTGGTCTGCTGCTGCTGCTGCCGCTGCTGTATGTGGAGAAGGGAGGATGGAGGAGAGGACTAAAGCTCCGCATCGCTTGCAACCGCACGAACTCCATGCTCCAAGCGAGTGTGGGGCTGTGGCGCTACGCAGTGTTGCATTAATGTGCGTTTGGGTGATTCCCGGAACGGAAGTCGATTTATGTTTTGTGTACCCTCTATACCCGCACCCTCCACGCAGTACCCCTCCTTGTCTGTCTGCCCCTCTCTTCTGTCTCTGCGGGTGACAACTTTTCGCCTTGTTTCGGCCTTCGTCTGGGGGTCCGGCAAATGGCAAATGTTTTTGGCCGCAGCTGCCAGAAAGCATCCACCGCAACGCATCACTCGCTTTGAATGCACCCCACACACCCCACTCCGAGTGTGGATACCACCCCCTCACCCTCCTATTATATTTCCCATCCCCCCAGCAGCCCATCAGCCCATCAGATGAGGCATTGTCATGGTAATGCTGGAAAAATGCTTTAAACTGCCTTCTAATGATGCAGACGACTCGACTCCCTCGTCGAGGACACGCTCTTCTCTCCTCAACTCTCCCGTAATGTCTGTTATCCCTGTTTTAATTTGCCAAACCTTCCGCATACCCACTAACCCCTCTGAGGGGACAAGGGCTGCTTTGAGGGTAGGGTGCTGTACTGTCAGTCATTTAATGGCTTACCTTATCTTCAGCTTCCTCGGCGCGTTCTTCCGCTTCGATGACGCGCTGCTCCAGCTCCGTTAACTGCAAAAATGAGGAGAAAGTTGGTTAAATCTCATTGTAGCGGGTGGCGGGGAAGGGTCTGGATGGGTATGGGTATATGGGTGCTTAAAAATCGGAAATCATGTGAAAATAACCCGCCACATGCGGATCCTTATGCTGCAGCAGAGATTAGAAAATGTTTAACGGGGAAAATGGGTATTTGTACAGGCAATTATGAGATATATACATGGTTTAACATCTATCTTATCTTTTACATAGATAAATTTACGAGACTCTAGATGGCATTTAGATAGTTTCCAGACCATAAAACCCCCGAAAATGCAAGGAAACCCCCTTTTAAAGTGGATTCTTCGTGGATTCTACATGGATTCTACGCTGTAAACACATGTACTACATGCAATCCACGTCTTAACTACTAACTACTTGCGCAACTAACCATCATCCACAGAGCTTAGCCAATACATTAACCAAGTCCACACGGTATCTAATGAGTTGAGCACATAACTAAAAAAGTTTATGCGCGATAAATAATAGAAAATATATTCGCACATGTTTTAAGTTTACATTTATCCAATGGAAAATTTTTCTCATATAACTTTATGTGTTTAATACATTATTTCTAATATCACCTCCAATTTAACTGTACGAAACCAACATAAAATGAAGAATTGCTGCTTTTATCGCAAAACAATTTGGTAATGAAACAGTATTGATAGCAAAAAGGTGCGAAGGCCGGGGCACGCACATTTCGTAATAGGATAAGTTTTCGAAAACCCGAGCATGGATGTACTTATGCTGTCTACATGCAATCCACAAATTCAGTCAAGACACAAACCAGTGAAAATTGGACGTCCAACTCTTAGCTGATACACACACCAACTACAGCACGAATTTCCCCGTATCTGTGAGAATTTCCCGTGTTGAATACGCTTTAAGAGCCGACAGATGGCGCCGGTTGTCCCTTTTCGGGATTTTGGCTGTTCAAAAGTGGAAAGGACCCCCCATTCATCCCCTCCAGACAATCCCGGGGAGAGCTGTTGACCTCCCCAATCCCATGCTGGACATCCATCAATCAGTGGACGACTCAATCATGGGGAAATGGCACACAATTTGCGCCTAATAAGGATAATGCGAGGATCCCCGAGACAACGAATTAATGGAAATTCATGGGAGGAAACACCTGCCCGAAAGCACTTGCCCATCATCATAAGCACCCCATGCTCTTCCCTCCCACCTCGAAGGATACGCTAATCCTGCGCTTTTAAGCGCTCAATGGCTCTCGGGCCGTAAACAGGAGGCCCGAGAAAGGAGGCACGCGCCCTATAAGGATCACCATTACCGCTTGAGGGGGATGTAACGTTTCCATGCCAATTAATCAGCCAAGTGGCCCCAAAGCAAAAAGCCAGATGGATAGATGGATAGACTCTGCCACTTGATTCCGCTGCAAAGCACACAAAAGGGGACTCCCTCACTCCCACCACCACCACCACCTCCACCTCCACCACCACTACCACTCCCAATCCCCACGTCAACCGTCGGCCGCTCAAAGATTCGATTTTGAATGCCTTAAGTGCATTAATTTCCGCTTTTTATGCCATTCAAGTGGCCACTCAACGGGGACAGGAGGGGGAGGAGCCGGGGTACTCAATTGATTGATGGCTATCAAATTGTTGTGCAAAATATGAAGCAGCCCCAGCCCGCCCTCACTCCCCGCACTGCAGAAAGAGGAGAGCGGAAGCGGAAGTGTCAGAAGGGATGGTTGCCTTAACCTTTAAGTGCCTTTTCCCATTAGAATTGGACGCTACAGGAAGAAGGTAACAGAGGAACACAGAGAATAACTAATCCATTCCTCCCTGGTCCCCTCATACTCATATTTTATTTCTTATTTCCTTATCTTCTTATTTCCTTGCGTACTTATCCTCTGTCTCTTGGCTCTGAAAAACTTCCACAGAAGACGATTCCATTACACACTCTTATATTATCCCACAATATCCCATAGAATTGCACTGCTCTACCATCGATGCGTCTGTTAAAGAAATACGACTAGACCAAGCAAAAGTTCCACTTATCGAGAGCTTCCGAGAGCCCGAAGGGGCGGACATGACGGCGACAGTCTTCGCTGTTTTCTTACAGAGATCGTCTATGGAATATGTCCACTTGCTGTACGAATCTGGTCTGCAATCGTCGGAGGAGAAGCTGCCTCAGTGCCTGGCTCGGAAACAGCTGCTTTGCATAGGAATGTCTCTGAGTCAGCTCCCGACAGCCGTTGACCAGTGGCTCTATAAAACATAGGCGGCACTCGTCAGAGCAGCATCGTGTGCCGCCGACATCAGAGAAACCAGAATGTGCTCCAATCTGGGCGACTTGTTCGCCTGCATCAAGCCGCAGACAGAGACAGAGACAGAGCCGGAGACAGTGCCTGAGACGCCGGACAGCATGGGGAACAGCCATCGGCGGAGCATGCAGGTGGACGACATGGAGGCATACGATCTCGACGAGCAGTTGCACCAGGAAATGCTGCGGGAGAAGGAGGAGCGCCGCCTCAGCCTCGGGAGCCTGGGCAGCCTCTCCAAGCGACTGGTGCGCGCTCCGAGGCCCAATCTGCCGCCTTCGAAGCACCTGCCCGTCCCCACCTGCATCCGTCCGCCCGCTCGCGGGAAGCGCGCCTCCTTCGAGACCCTGGAGCGCTATGACCAGGTCTTTAGCGCTCCCTCCGGATCCGACCGCTGCATTCCCGATCAGTTCTAGGGGGATTCGGAGTATGGGGCTCGGATTAAAGGCCGGCCAGTCGGCAGCCTATAGCATTTTGTTGGTTTTTCTTTGGGCACAACTTTTGGGAATGGATTAAGGAGTAGAAAAAGTCCTAAGGCTGAGAGAAAAGTTGGGCCTTGGGTTGCGTGCGTGCAAAAGAAGGCCGGCCACTCGTCCTCTATCCCTTCATCGATTCGCGCTCCTGTTCATTGTCCCCGCCCCTGAATATAGGCGTTTCCACCGCCAATTGGCGGAGTTAATTGGTGGGAAGCCCTTTTGCTAGTTGGTTGGGGCTTTAAGCAGCCGCATTTTGGCTTAATTGCATGGCGCTTCATCCTGCTGGAGGAGGGAGAGGGGGCGGTGCCACCCCCACGCTCCCTTTTGCAGACACTTTCAAAACAACTTTTACAACTTTGAATGGATCGGACAAACAATGCGAATGAAATCACCTCGAAACAAACTCAAACACAAAACCAGAAACAGAAAATGCAATTTCCCCGCCACGAATGCAATTCCCACAAACAAATGCCATACAATGGGACACTGCAGGAGGGTGCTGCAGAGCGGGTGGCCGTGGCACCACCCCCCAACATGCGAGCCATGAAGTCGTTTACTTTTGGCCATTAGCTAGGGGTTTAGGTGTCGTTCGCCTCGCGTTGCAAAACTTTCCCCGCGAGCGTCGCCTTCTCACAAAAGTTCTCCTCTCAGTCTCCCCCTCTGCGTGGGGGCAATAGGGGGGACAGAGAGATCTTGATAGGTTTCAATAGTAGTTTCAGGGGGGTTGCGGGGTGTGTTGTCACCCCCCATTGGTTTGCTCTCAGGTTAATGGTTACTCAATTGGGAATCGGTTGAGGTAGAGGTAGATTGCGCTCTGTTACGAGTACTCCTACTCCTACTCCCACTCGTACCCGTACCCGTACCCTTACCCTTACCCTTACCCGTACCCTTACCCGTGCTCGTTCCATGCCATTCGGAATCGGTCCATTATCCAATTAAGGACAGCCATAACCCACTATCTGCCAAGGTGATATTTTTATTCCAATCCATTACGCATTATCCTTCTTATCTCAAGCCATTCCATTCCTGTGTGGCTTTGAAATTCTTCTGTATTTGCATCAGCCCCACCTTGCCGAATCTCTATTTATACGATACTAGTATTTCCAATATATATATTCCCTTTAATCTCTAATACTCACGTTGGCAGACTTGAGCATAATTTGCCTTAAGAAAAGGGTTTAAAACAAACAACAGGTGGAAAATCTTAAAGAATTTCAATCAAAAATAATTTAAATATTTATCTGATACAAAACTGCAACTACATATGATGCCGTATATGTAGTTGTAGGTGCCCCTGATATGGAATGCTCATTCAGGGATTCCAATATCTTCCCATATCTATTAGTTGGTACACGTTCCCCATAAATATTCCTACATATGTACATATATATTCCCATATTCCAATACCTAACAACTGCCAATAGATGCACATAATTATAGTTGAACACGGCAATCTCATTGCATTCTTTCAGGTTGTTTCTCACTAATCAATCCATATAAAACCTTGATCATTTTATTCCTTTCTTTCCCTTCCCATCTCTATATAAAACCGAATATAAATCAAGACAATCTCCACTTATTCCATCTCATATGATAATCCTATATTTTGGCCTTATCGAACTCTAACCTTCTCTTTCCTAAGATCCATTAGGCGTGCACTAAGTCCCGCGTGATGCAGCAGCGCACTTCGGTGAAGAGAGAGAAAGAGCGCCAAGATGTTTTTTGGGCCACTTGCTGCACTATGCGGTCATGATCCCCTTTTTCTGAGGAAAATCCATTTTTGAAGAGTAGCTAAAATTTTTTTAAAATATTTTTAACAGAGCGTACCGCTGCTAACTGTTCAGAGTTGCTTGCTAGCCAAAAGCATGTGCCTAACTTAATAGAGGATCCCCTGCATGGATCTGCCATTTCCTGCCCTGAAAATCTGCATCCAATACGTCACGCCCCCACCGATGCCGCTTGATGATTTGCGGACTTATTATTACTCGCTCAATTGGGCTTACGATTCCGATTTGGATTTCTATTCATATAAAATATATAATATATTATTTATTTGGTTTAGGTTTTTGGGTGATTTGTATTTGCATTTGCATTCGCATTCGCACTCTTCTCATTCGGGGTTCGGGTTCTTTTCTGTTTTGTTCTGTGTTTTGATTGCAAAAAGTTAATTAAAAATTTGTTGTAATTGAATTTTATCGCATTGTTTGTTGTGGAGTTTTGCTGCTTTGTTTCCGTTGTTTGCGTTGTTTTTTGTTCTTTCTGTTTGTTCATTTTCATACCCAGTACTCGAACAGTGTGCAATATTAGGGTATATTCGATTTATAGTCTATGAGACAACGAAAAAGCGCGGAATCGTAGGGAAGAACCGTATCTAGCAGATCAGCAGGCCACGTGCTTCGCAGACTCTTCCCGGTGCAGGGTGCGCCCTCGGGCGGTATGAATGTAGAGCCGAGACGCTAGCTGCGACTCCCAACGTGCCCGCTCGTCTTCTATTGGATACATTTGATTGTGTGTTTTGTTTTTTGTTTTTTTCATAGAGAGAGTTTTATGGAAAATGTCTGGCCATTATGCCATTTGTTGTCATTTGGTTTTTGCCTTTTGCCCGTAATTGGATTATTGCAAAAGAGTTTTAATTAAGCCAAATGAATGGAGCGCAGGGGAAGTGGGATGAGGTGTGGCATGTGGGATTGTGGCAGGTAGTAGCATGCGGCATCTGTTAGATTATGAGCTCGGGCAGGCGTGGATCATCATAGCCCTCGTAGCTGTCGTCCACTTCCACTTCCAGTTCCTGGACCTGCTCTTCATCGATTGTGGGATGGGGATACCCCATGGGTGGCTCCACAACCACAGCCTCCGGGAACGGCGTTGGTGCCACCATTACAGTCGGAGGTGGTGGCACGTCCATCGGGGGGGCGTCGCCGCGGAATCTGCGGCAAGCAAAGAGGTCCAGGAAAAAGCCCATAAGCATGATCCGTCAGCAGTGAGTGCTCTCTTCTCGCTATCTCTATCTCTATCTACAGCTCCAGCTCCAGCTCCAGCTCTAGCTGTAGCTCCAGTGATCCCAGTGCGTGGACTGCTGCTCGATGACAGCAAGCGGAGCCTTTAATCCAAAGCCACCTCCATGGGGGGTCCGTATAACAGCTGTTTCCCCTGTTTTCCTGTTTCCGCAGCTGTTTACTGTGCTAAATGGTTCCACAAAGCCAAACACTGTTCTACTAAATGAGCACCCGAGCCCCATCCCCCGCCACACACAAATGACAAAATAAATTAAAATTAAAATTAAGTATATCCCGTTGATTAACGAATGCGATCATGCATTTTGCATTATATGTGAATATGCATGAATATAATGCACGAGTGAATGCACTGCACTGCACTGCACTGCAGTGGCACGTAATCCACCAACGAGGGGTATACAAAAAGAGATATATGTAGATGTTGTACAAGTGCTCTCGCATATGCATTTATGCACGTTATAATTACATTTATGCGCTGCCATCAAATTCAATGGCGCTAAAACATTTGCGTAGCGGGAGACGGTTGACGGGGGACGGGGGACGGGAGAAGGGCCCTGCCGCCCAGCCATTCAGCGACGGGCAGTGCTGTATGCGTCACGTTCAATTCAACAACTCAATTCGAGCACTTGCAACGCTTCTGGCAATGGCAGATTTGTCCGAAACAAACGCCGAGTCGATGTATCCTTACAGCAATCCCTGTCCTTCTCCAGAATGCGCTGAAATGCGTGAGCAGTTCCCCTTTAAAGTAAATTGTCTGAGAACGAGACTGGTTCCCGTGCGATGCATTGTCGGGTAATGTACATGGCCTTTACTCCCAGAAATGAAAGCTGGGGTTCCCTCCTATCTCCCTTGCAACAAACCGCGCTCTTGGAGTATTAATTGCCCAACTTTGGGGCACTTTTCGGGGGGGTTTAGCAGTAGAAAGTAGGCCAACTGCTGCCTGCCTATTTACTCTCACAGAACGATGTCAATTGCATAAAGGCCATGCCCCAAGAGGTCCGGCCCGGCCCCGCCCGGCCCCGCCACGCCCCACCACTCTGCCACACGCATCACGGCAGCCGCAAGTGTGGCGGCTCTTTCCCTTTGGGGGCTTGGGGTCAAGTGGAGGCAAAACACAACGTACAACAATCCAAGAATAACCACAACACACGAAAATGTAGGCTAACATGGGTTAAGGTGTGTTATTAGCTTGCCACAAAATAAGCAAAACCGCGCGCACGAGGCGACAGAGGCGACAACGGCCCTACCCCCCCAAGACCTAAGACCCAGCCATCCAATCACCCAACCCCTGACACCAATTGGACATCCTCTGAGCGACCGTGGAACCGTCGATAAACCTACAGATACACTCGTGCGTAAAGTATCTGCACTTCAAAAAGGCTCGTGATTTGGAGTATTTTTCCCACATATTGTATGTATTATCTACCGATCGTTCCTAGATATGTATATGTGGATATACTTTGGCATGGGACAGCAGAACAGGGGGGAAGGCAACGAAACGTAACGAAGATAATGAGAATGAGAGCGTAAGCCGTTCGTTGCTTCCAATCCGCACAAGACGCCCTCCTATCTTTATCCTCCTAACTCCCCAGAGAGAAGACTGCTTCCCAGTGGCCCGGAGGCTTACTAATTATGGTTAATGGGCCAAGGGCGACCCCACACCTGCACCTTCACCTGCCACACCTGAGCCAGAAGCAGCGCCAACGAACTAATTAGAAGGCGCCTTAAGTGCAACAAGCAGGGCCCGTGGCTCCGAAGCAACTTTAAGCTGCTGCACAACTGCTTGCGGGGCCTAATGCTGCCTCAGCCTTGAGTCGGGGGATGGGACTGGAGATGGGGCTTCCACCAAATTGACACAAATTGGCAGGAGGCAAGTACATCATGGCAATCAGATTAGACAACGACGACGACGACGACGACGATGACGACGACGATGCCGTCTCCAGTCGTTGCCAATGTGCGCTCATCATGTGCGACATTCCGCTCCGGTTCCAGGCATAAGCAGGGGCATGCCACAAGGCACGCAACGTTTTTGCAGCTGCTTTCAATCATGACGCACGGATTAGGACTCAGGTTAAAGATTAACAATGGCAAACAGCAGCAGGAAAAGAGCATGGAAAGTGAGCAGGAGAGGGCGAAGGACACCCAGGACACAAAGAGGGGGATGACAGGTGGGGTGGGATGTGTTCTCGATGGATGAAATGCAGTGGGACAAGGACCAGGATGTTCCCCAAAACGGAATGGAACGGGATAGGAATGGTATGAGACGGAAGAGGAGACTATAAGCCGATTGGCAGCAGGACATGCAACACTAAGAGAATAAGCATCAGATCAAAGAAAAAGGATGGATGGAAGAATAAAGAATAAGCTTCTATAAGGGTCCATGCCATCCTTTGGTTCGAAGCGAACCAAATTGGAGCCAAAAATAACACAAAAAGAACTGGAACACAGGAAGCAAAGCGAAACGATCTGGAATGGAAAGGAAATGAAAGGAAAACGTGAAACAGTTCAGAAGTAAACAGTAGAGGAACAATGATAAAGAACAAGTCAAGAAACCTGATAAATGAAATGGGAACGGAATACTTTCGTATGGGGCAAAAACGAAAGGCAACCCGAAATTCTCATGAGGTGGGGTGTCAACGATTGAAAATTTGTCAAAGTTATAGATAGATCTGAAAATCCTCGTTCGAAATTGGTTACATGCGCAAGACCTGGAAAAAGCCGCTGCACAAGCGTATAATAGTAAGGCTGAACAGTAAGTCCTGGTCTCCGCTCAATCTCTGAGTCCCCCCATTCAATCCGCAGTGGAGGCAGACATCATTGCTGCGTCGCCTGGAATACTACATGCAGCCGCTGGTGGATCATCTGCGGGATATTTGGGTGCGGCCGATTTCCTTCCCCACGGTGCCGAAGCTCGCACATACCTGCCGCCTCGGTTTCGTCGTTCTTCTGGCGATCCTTTTTCTGGCATTAGTCCTGCTCCTCTTCCACCTGGGATCTCCTCGGCGCTCTGTCCAAGCTGTAGCTTCCAAGTGACCAACAGCAGGTATTCGCTGTACGTGAACTTGTGCATCGTCCGGTACAGCGAGATTATAGCTTCATCTTCAGCTGAAGGACGATCCGTCGATTCCGGCCAGTTGAATCCGTTTAATAAATGTGAAACACTCATACTCTATATTCTCTTCGCCTGCTCTGCGACGCGGAATCGTCTGCTTGCAGTTTGACATTGGCATTGGGTTCTTTCGATCATCTATTCAAGGACCTTCCACTTTCACCATCTGCAGTTGTGCATATATGTACATAATATGTATCTACGTACCTACTCCAGGACTGACAGTGGGATGAAACGGCGGAATAAATCAATTTAACGAACCAATGGAAACCAACCACTGAAAACCTGTTGAGTGTTGGAAAGGTAGAGTAATGCAAACGCCCAAAAAAGACCAGAAGACCACCAAGAAGGCATGGAAGAAGGCATGCATATACTCGAATATGTATGCGGTCATTACTCCTTGGCGTGAGAGAGCTGTGCGAAAGATATCCCAAAGCTATTAGCAGTTGATAGCGTCTCAAGGACTCCTCCAAAGACTCGTCCACTTACACCAAGTTCTGAAACTGAAACTGGAGGAGTCCCAGACTCCAGGACATGAGAGACAAAGCAAGAGATTCGCAGCGACAGTCGAGGAATAACAATTAGTGGCAGACTTTTAGGCGCAGGAACAGTGCCGGAGAGTGGAAGGACAGACAGACACAAAAGGCAAATGCAAAAGCTGGGTGTCGTCCCGTCTGCCGTCTCCCGTGTCCCGTGTCCCGCCGCCCGTCTCCCAAACGAAAGCCCAGAGAGAGTCCGCGCAATAATCACGGCCAAGTGCTGCATATTTATAGGCGCAATCAAGTTAATTGCAGAAATAGCAGACAGTGATAGGAACACACAAAGGAACGGCATGAATGAATGAATGAATACGAATACTGGCAGTGACTAAGGATGAGGATGAGGTGCCTTACCTGCCTTTAGCCGGCTTCCACTGGTACTACTCCGTAATTAACTTAATTGTGGGCCGTTTGCCGATGGTTTGAAGAGTCCTCGAAACTCCTCCTTGAGGCTAAAGTAATTGCCACTCAAAAGTTCAATGCATTCTCAGATTCCATGGTTCCCTCATCCTCTGGCATTAACAATATTTTTGGCCTCGACTCCTTCAAGGCCAGTCCTCTACTGGGGTTTCCCCTCGAAAGTTTCGTGGGCTTACAAAATTAGCACAAAACGAATTAATGAGTGTGGAAAATCTCTTAATGCTGGACAAAATCCCAAGCAGCGTAGTCAAGCACTTCCTGCCGGAGCGAAGCGCACTTTCATTTCCATTTCAATTTTTGGATTTTTGGAATTGGATTTCACAATATTTTCCTTTACCAAAAACTGCATTGCTGCTGCTGCTGCTGCTGCTGTCGCTCCTTTTACTGGGTTTTCGGGTTTGTGGCGAATTTCAATTATCCTTGCGGGGGTCCGAGCAGCGCTTCGCATCTATTGCCTGCATTTCCTCTCATTTTCATCTTTCGGGACGCTTTTTTATTTATTTTGTTTGCCTTTGCCTCTGGCTTGTATTTCATTTTCAGTTTTATGCATGAGACGGCGCCTAGTTTTTCATTCTCATTTCCCAGGCCCATTTTTGCAGGACTCTCCTCCAGCTCTGGGTCCACATCGTCTTCCTCTCTGCCTTTTGAAGCTCGGGCGCCCATTCACGCTGTAAATTGTTTGCATACAATGGAGGAAAAGGAGCACCAGATGGGGGTCCGTGTCCCCAGCCCCCAGTTACAGCCCCAACCCCCCAATTTGTTCAGGACCAGCCGCAGCAGGAAGGGGACCTGCTCTCTGGGCTGTGGGTCTTAACTTTTGGCGTGGCTTATTGGTGCGGCAAGATTAAGTTTCAAATTGATGTGCGTTTTGAGTTGGCCGCCAAACGGAAACGGAAATGCCAAATGGGGAACTGTGGAAATGTGGAAATGGGGAGGGGGAAACAGAGTAGTTTCCACCAAG